GATACGAAGTTGTAAGTCCACTTAGAAAGGGAAGTGCCATGATAGGGGATGCTAATTGGGGGGGATTCGGGATGTGATGACGGTTCCGTACCCACGAAGCAACCAAAACGTGGTCGTCCCACCACAGACCGCGGGACTGCTTTATCTTGCACCAGAGCCGGAGGGCAAGAAATATCGAGGCAATCCCGACTACTGTCCAGATCGTTATAATGAGGTAGGGTCCATTGTTTTGTTCCAGCTCCTCTGGGGTCAACTCGACTTTACTCATCTTCAGTCCCGGTAGGCAACTATGTGCTCCTTGGACTGGACAAGTTGACGGCGTCTTCACGCTAGAGGGATGTCATCAAGCGAAGATTATTCAATGGTATAAAGGGGAGGGGACCGACGCAGTGCCGTCGGGTGATGGTTTCGTCGAGTGTATAAAGTGTCGTACGAAGAGCCGATTAAGCGCCGGGACATCCTGAACGGAAGCTGCCAGAATTGGCTAGTGTCGCGGGGCGTGCCAACGCGGTTCGACGGGCCAGGTGGGTTATATATCTACCATCGGAGGGCTCCACCAGAACAACGTGGCTCCCTAGCACATGGTACGATCGGAAGAAGGGTGGTTGTGGCGTGGGGAACAAACGCTTTGTCCAGAAGGCTAAACTGGCAGCGGAGATAAAATTAGTAAAGTGTTTCGTATGAACTGCCACCCACGGATGAAAGGTTTCAGAGAAATACCTGAGATCACGCCTCTTGGGGGATCTACTTTTTGGGCAAGGGTAGATCCCATCCGTCCGGTCATTGCGCTGGAACGAGGCGCGCCGATCCACTGCAGAGACACATACATGGCGGGTGATTGGCCCCCTCGTGGGTGAGACCGTGGACAAAGCACTTCGGACGAAGAAGAAGCAAAGGTGAGGCACGCGACGGTCCGGAGCACATTGGACGGAAAAAGCAAGCAAGGGACAAGCATTCAAGGACGGAGCAAAGCTGGCCCCCTGATCGCGCGCCTCAGGAGGGTTGATAGGGAAGGAATCCCACAAGCTGCTGAATATTTCCATGGCATGTCCGTTGAGCACTTCCTCGGGGGATAAACGCACGTTAGGCTGTCATGGTACGAAAGGCGGCCATCCCTATCCGCCGAGGGTCAAGTCGGCACTGGGCGGGAGTGCTAGCAGGGGTAGGTATGAGAGGGCGGGGGTGAAGTAGGCATGGCTAGAATGTCTCGCCCGGAAGGGGTTAAGACGGCCAGATCGGTCAACCATGCGAGTCGGTAGCGAGCTTAACCTGTCGTGTAGCAGGAGGAGGCGGGGCCGTGTGGCGTTGACTTGTGCCTGACTTATGCAGCACATATCCTGTCATGGGCATATGCACTATTACATACACTCCGTTCGATCTGATTCAACGGTATGAGCACGTTGTGATTGAACTCCCATCCATTGGGACCTAGTTAATGCCCGAGGAGCGCCACCTTCGTCCGTACCTGTCCTTCTTACAGCCACCTCTCCATGTCCGTGCCGTTCCCATAAATATGCGTACCAGTAGAGCTCAAGTTGAGGGCACTACTTAGAAAAGATCGTCTATGAGAAACAATTACGACATCGATTGCCTGTAAATTCACCGCGCGGTGCGGATCATTTCTGTCAGTGAGGAGCCCGTCTAATAACAAAACTCCAAAATGCGGGTATGACGGGTATTTTCCGCGAACGCAAAATACTTTTGCCAAGGTGCCTTACCCGAGCGCCATGAGCGGAACACCGAGTCTTCTCAGCTCGAGAAATTTAGCGCACTTATACTCGATCACAATTGTGGCCACCTTCATTTGCCGTTGGCGGTACTCCGTAGGTCGTTCGTTCCCTGCTTTCATCTCCCACCCCCCGCCCCCGTCACGGTCCTCCAAGCAAATCATGTTGACCGGGTCCGTCCCCGTCCGTTAACCTGCCGCACAAGGCGAAAGAAAGCTACAAGTACTTGCCATGGACGCTGGACCAGGTTCCCGCGGCTCGGAAAGACGATCCGTCGGTGTGAGTGTTCCACAGGCGGACCAATCATTGACGGGCATGCCTATCAATCGGTGGGCTTGTACCAGTACTGGAATGGCATTCAGAACGGCCCATTGGCTCATGGAACAACTAGGCACGACGGTGATCTGTGTCCAGATGACACTACAAGTACAGTTCTCCGCTCACCGTATTGAGCTCTCTGCGGACCCGATTTTTTATTGATCGTGGATGGGTTTTACACTGAGGGAAGGAAAGTACCTGCAGAATTCCTGGACAATTCCGCTCCCCATGCTCCGGAACATGTGCAGATGATCGTGTGATCTCCATTTTCTCTACTGACATGGCGATCCTCACTCAGCTCCAGATCCGCTGAAACACTCAGCCCGCTCCCTGTCCTGTATTCCAACCCCTCAGTATACGGACGGAGCCTATTCTGGGGCAATATTCCTGCTGGTAGACACCCAAAAATAACTAGACAAAAGTAGGTCCCCTGGACGGGAAGAGTTAAGCTAGCGTTCGCGCTATCCTAGTGTCACACTAAAGCATGCACCTTACTTGTATTTCGAAGTGTTTAAGACAATTAAGGTGATGGCGCGGGGATAAGTCTTGTGAAACAGCATGGGTCTTACCAACCCCCACGAATATGCTCTCAGGATGGTGTATTCGACGACGGCATTGGCTAGGCAAGGAACGGTATTCTTAAACATGACCCTATCCTTCAACGAATGCATGTACTCCACCGGAACTAAACTTACCGGGGGCCGCGACAAGCGGACTTGACAAAGTCGGACGCCGTTTTCCCTCAGCACAGATATTGTGATCAGCCCCAAGGGTCTCAGGCAAGTACCCTACTTTGACAGCAGCTAGCCTAGTGACAGTATGTGTAACGTGGTGAATCAAGCTAAACGTAAACCTCCCTTCGTTGCCTACACACCACTCCCAGGATCGACTAGAACTTCACTATTAGACTCAACACCTAATCACATGTCAAGCTCCTCGTCTCCAACCCTAGAAGAACATGGGTGAAGGCAGAGAAATACAAGCGGTTTCCTTGAGGCTATTGTCAGTGAGGGTTCCCACGCAATTTCGAGCAGGAATGCTCTGAGTCTGGCCCGGCCCTGTAAAATCAGTGATGCCTTTAAACCGTCGATCCACGTTCTATTGCCATCTATTAGCGAATTCGATATTCCCTACGGGAGACTGGACGATTGACTGAGCCAACGAGGTGCTCCAATCCTGCGAGATGACCGCCGGGGCTAGATCGCGTCGCGTTAAGACAAAACGGACTATGGTATGCGCTGACACGACTACGATTCCTGGCTACCATATGTCCCTACTCCGCATCACGATTTTTCATCCATGTATATTGTTGTATCACGAGCTCTATTCCTTTAAAGTGTGGCGAAGGGGTCCAGATTGGGCAAGTTTAAGCCAAATGTAAGACACGATGTTACAGACAACATGCCAATAATCTCACACGCTGGTCCAACCAACATATGCGGGGTTAATGTCTTCAAGATGATTCAAATCCATAGAACATGGTTCCAAAGCATGGTCTCGACCTGTGTACTTACCAACCGTGAATTCTAACGCGTTAATATCAATACGTGACCGGAATACCAAACTTTGCCTGCACTTAAACCCCCGTGACAGACGCCCAGAGGGCGGATAGGCCGAGGGGACGTGTTTGTTACAGACGATTTCATATCCAAAAGGTAATGGGAGAATACAGGATGTCGATGTATTGGAGGAATTCGGGCGCCCCCTTCTAGAAGCGCTATCCACAAAACTTATAATATGGGAGAACGTCAGATGTACTAAGCAGTGTCTAAACTGGCAAGATAAAATGAAAACCGAAGAAGTAAATAGGGGAAATATCCACCCACTGATGAAAACAGACTGTGTGGCAACGCAAAGGAAACCAGCGCTGAGAATGTCTCGCCAGGAAAGACTGCATCAAAGCATGAAAGCTGAGGTCATTGCGGCCAGAAGAAGACACATCGTATAACCGGCAGAGTTCGCCACAGCCGAGTTCCCATCATCTTTGCCATCTTCATCGCCCTTGTCGTTCTCTTCCTGAGTAGTGAGGTCAGTTTCCGGATTGATGCAGTCCTCGATACAGTTCGCATTCGTCCCCCAGTCAACACGGACGTATCCCTCCTGCGTCACGTTCCCAGACAAGAAGTTGGCGGTGATCCAACCGCACTTCTTGCATCCCTCCTGTAGGATATCTCCGTATGGCTTTTCCTATGCATCCTCTGGTATGCTATTAGAGAGGGGGTACGAGAGCTGGATGTTTACTGGTTTACTGTTGTAGCAAGGGATAGTATTGCCAAGAAGGCCGGGGGGGGGGGGGGGGGGGT